AAACCCTGTCTCGAAAAAAAAAAAAAAAAAAAAAAAAAAAAGTATAGTATGAAACATTTCCTTATGAATACATTCCCTAGTCATATGACTCTACCCTTTTCCATGCTCAAAATATGGTTACAATAGACATTTAATGAGCTTTTTCAGAACTTTGTCATGATTGCAGTTCTGAGGGAATATGCAAATCATCTTTAGTCTTTTGTTGAAATGAAAAGTTTATATAATGGCTCACAGGGGCATTGGCTTTATATTAAATCATATGTCTTAGAATTTGAAACTTTATTAGCATACTAACATATGATCAGAAGAGGTTGCTAAAACTTTGTCAGCTTTCTTTACAACTTGTCTTCAAATGATATTTTGCATTGGACTTTTTTTTATATGGAGAGGAATTAATTCAGTAATTTTGTTTCATTGGTATTTGTTTTCCAGAGGATAGGTTAGTGGTGAATCTGGATATACCCCTAGGAGATCCCTTTCAGGCAACATTGGCAAAGGACCCAGAAACAAGGGAGATTATCCCTATGGGTAAGCTTCGGAATGATACTGAAAATAATTTAACAGTAACTATTGAATGGTTACGTATATGTGCTTTCTCTTTCTCCCTCCCTTCCTCTTCTCCCTTTCTCCCTTTACCTTTTCCCTCCTCCTTTCCCCTCCTCCTCTCTCAGCACTAAAATCTATTCCAGTAAACAGCCTCTATGAAAATAATTATGGATGAGCATTTATGTCAAATATAGTATCATGTGTTTGTGTTCTGAATTCTAGAGTTTAAGTGGTGCTATTACCTACCAGGTATGTTATCTCCTCCAGCAGGTGTAGGCCTTCTATAACTGGTAAGATTCATGAGGAACTTTCTATGGGAAATTATGGAAAGTTAACTGGTATGCCCCAGGATATACTCCATGTGACCAAGCAGAATTTGGACAAGGGCACATACTATCTTCTGAACTTTGGACACCAATAGTGGTATCTGGGACGTGAAACCTTTGTGAAGATGACTGTTAATAGCATGAATCAGCCATACAAATATCAGCTTTAATGTTAAGAGCCTAGAAGCCTCATGCTATATGACACAGACATTAAATGTATAGTTTCTGGGAACCATACACAATTCTAGGGAATAAACTCTAGTGGTATGGGGTCTAAGGAATACTTGGGTAGTTACCAACTGTGTTAGTTAGGGTTTCTGTTACTGTGAAGAGATACTGTGACCATGGCAACTGTTATAAAGGAAAACATTTAATTGAAGTAGTGACTTAGTTTCAGAGATTTAGTCCATTATCATCATGGCAGGGAACATGGTGGTGTGCAGGCAGACATGTTGCTGGAGAAGGAGCTGCTACATGTTGATATGCAAGCAACAGGAAGTAGACTGTTTCACTGGGCATGGCTTGAGCAAAAATGAGACCTTAAAGCCTGCCTCCACAGTAACACATTTCCTCCAACAAGACCACACCTACTCCAACAATACCACATCTACTCCAACAAGACCACACCTCCTAATAGTGCCATTCTCTTTAGGGTGTTAGACCCCCGGAAAACTCAGGTATCCAGGTATCCGGGGTCCCAGGCCACGTTCGCGGTCACCCCAATCACCAGGCGGATTCGAGAGCTTGTTGCAAACTACCTGAGGCTTTATTGTAATTTAACGAGCTAACCCCATGTTAGCTCGGGTCCCCCCCCCGCCATGGCGGATGGCTAGCAAAAGACAGCTCGAACCCACTGCATACAGATCTTGTAGGGCAGCGTAAGGGGAGTTTCTATGGGTACACACAGGCTCACGATTGGTGTGCCTCCAGGCTTGGAGGGCTTGCCCTGTGTTGATTGGTCAACTGGTTGTTATGGCCCATAGGCCCTCCCAGGGTGGTTGCTATGCTTTGTGTGTCATTGCTGTGCGCTTGTCCGTAAAGCACACCCAGAGCCGTAAAGCATAGTGCCACCAGCTAACTTCTGATTGGTTCCTGGTCACCAGGCAGGCTAACTTCTGGTTGGTTCCTTGTCACGAGGCAGGCATCTGACCTCTAAGTGACCAAGGCAAGGTTATGGCAAGCACGTGTTCGGCTGTTATGGCTGCCTAAAGGGGAGCTGGTCCCTTCAAGGGGTCATGCTCTTTCAAACCACCACACCAACCAAGCAGTATTTACATGTAGGAAGTATTTAAATATCTTAGTAACAGTTAGGGCTTCATCTTAATCACTGTCTTATTACTATGAAGAGAAACCATAAAGGGGGTGGGGGGCAACTCTGATGAAAGAAAACACTTAGCTGGGGACTTGCTCACAGTTTCCTTAATCATTATGGTTTAGTACATTATCTTTATGGCAGGAAGCATTGCAAGCATGGTGCTAAAGCTAGTTGAGCTATGTCCTGATCTGCAGTCTGCAGGCAGAGAGACTCTGGGCTTGGTATTAGCTTTTGAAACCTCAAAGTCCATCCCTATTTACATACTTCCTTCAACAAAGCCATACCTCTTCATCTTTTCAAATAGTACCATTCCCTGGTGACTAAACATTCAAATATATGAGCCTATGGGGGACATTCTTATTCAAACCACCACGGACTATCAGAAATAACAACTATTCCTCCAAGTCAAACAGATTTTTCAAACCAGAAGTCACTAAAGGTATTCCCACTTAAATTTTGTTTAAGAACTAGTTTACATTTACCATCTTTAGATAAGCCTTTAACAGAGTCATTCTGTATTGACATGTTTATAAAGCAGTAGAGGTTAAAACACAGAAGGTATTGTTTAGTGAAAAAACATAACTTAAGCCCTTCCAGGCTAGAAAAATTTTGTTTTCAACTTTTATCAGTTTCAGTAGTCTATGCATTTTCTTTATTGCATTGTATATGTGACCGTTAACATTCTCAAATCTTCAGTGATATAGAGCCAGAAGCATTAATGAATGCATTAAGAGGCTTGGAAAGGTTCGTTGGTATAAAGGAAACCTGAAATGAGAAAGTGACTATTGAGCTATAGCATATATTCTGCTTCTTGTAGTCTTAATTAAATAAAAATGTTTCTGTTTAAACATCATCAAATGAACAAAAACCAATTTCTTGTCATTGTGATGACACATTTTTATTTTGGACCATATTAAGCTTTGTAAAGACATGGAACTCTTTTTGCTTTTTATTTTCCATTTTCGCCTCCATACAAGTAAAAACCGTTCCATTTTTTCAGGCTAAGATAAATAACATAATGCTTAGTTTGAACCAGTTGTTCCTTTTTCCCCCATTTTGTGTTTTTTACTTTTTTTTTTTACTTTTTTAAATTGTTTTATTTGAATTAGAAACAAGATTGTTTTACATGACAATCACAGTTCCCTTCTCCCTCCCTTCCTCCCCTAATTATCACATATCCTTTCTTCTAATCTACACCTGACTCAACCTTTCTGCTCCCTCATGACTTCTGCATCCTTCCTCTTCTTCCCTTCTCATTC